AGCAGAAAATCCTGGCAGAAGGCATTTTTCCACGTGTTTGTACAAACTGGAGGCCTGTCTGCTGCCACGGACCTCGGAAAGAGGCACAGCCAGCAATGCTGCTGCATCTGCCAGGCAAGCAGCCTTGGTGCACACCTGGCTGGTGTTATAGCTCACTTTGGTGCCTTGAGGCATCTCCATGTCACTTAATGTGCCCGAGGAAGGGAGAGATTGGGTTGAGCAAGACATCTGCCCTGGCATAAAACTGCCAGCATGCTCATTAATGTTTTCCTTCTCCTTTTGTTTCAGGGGGCAAAGGGGCTTAGCGCCTCTGAAACAAACGGAAAACGAAGACCGTGGCAAACCAGCCCTTCCCACACCCAAATGAGACCAACCTGAGGAGAAAGCACAGCTGGGGAGGAAAAGCAAAGGGGAATCTGCAAATGGTCTCTAGCTCCTTTCCAGATGGGGAAGTGGGGACACAAGGCTGGTGCAAGGATGCTGGCTGCATGTCCCCAGCCCCAGGGCTGTCCCACTTAGCACTGGGAATTGGAGCTATTGATTTTGCAGGACAATGTCTATAAGATGGGAGCTACAGTTTATAGGATGGTAGAAAAGCATCACTCAGGACACCTTGGCAGCAGAAAGCATCTTGCTGCAGTCTCCCAGCACTCCTGGCCCTCTCAATGTACCCCCTGCATCCAAATATTCACCACAAGGCCTCCAGCTGAAACCCACAGGCTTCTTTTAGTCAACTTCTGCCTCCGAGGTGTAATGTTATAAAGCTCTTTCAGCTCTTGTCAGATCCTTATTGCTTTTCTTCCATCAACTGAGTGTTTTCTCCCAGCAAGTGGAAGGGGCTCTGATTAGCAGCAGCAAATCAGGTGGGTGAGGTTAATCTCTAAGTGAATAGGTAGGAATTAATGGTTAAAAACCTTTGCCCAGGCTCTCCTAAGAGAACTTACTCCAAATTCTCCTTTACCCCCAGCTATGACTGTTCCCTCCTGAATCTTACATCTTCTTGGACGCAGCACTAAGTGCAGTGGCAGGAATGTGCCAGCAGGGAAGGGATCCCAGGGTCTGTCTCCAGCCAGGGGTGTGCAGGCAGGCACAACCAGTGCTGGCACGCTGGGTGCAGTGGGGTGAGAGCCAGAGGTGTGCAGGCAGGCACAACCAGTGCAGGCACGCTGGGTGCAGTGGGGTGAGAGCCCCTACACCCCAAGTTTTGGGTACAGACCTTGGAACCATGGACTGGTTTGGGTTGTGAGGGACCTTTGAAGATGATTTGGTCCAATCCTCCTGCCATAGGCAGGGACAACTTGCAGGGACACCTTCCACGAGACCATGTTGCTCAGAGCCTCATCCAACTTGGCCTTGAACACTTCTAGGGATAGGGCAGCCACAGCTTCTCATGCCAGTGCCTCACCACCCTCACTGTGCATTTCTTCCTTGTGTCCAGTCTGAATGTCCCCTCTTTCACTTTAAAACCATTGCCCCTCATCCTGTCACTACAGATCTTGGTAAAAAGTATTGCTCTATCTTTTGTATAAGCCCCTTGATGCAGTGACAGGTGATCTCCCACTGTCTCGTTGCATCTCTTTAGGACCATCTAGGCAACCATAATGATGGGTCATGAGCCAAGAGACCACCCTGAGATCCATCCCCTGTGTTTATATAACTAATCCTGCATGTACTAGGCCACAGTTTTAGTATGTGTCCCATTTTCATATAATGTATCCAAAACCCATGGCGTGTTTTAGAAGGCATCTCCCTGATTGCTGTCCCGTGGTTTAATTAAAGGAGATCTAGGGGGAACAGGCTACAGTCAGTGTGGCCACCATGGGGGTGGGTAAACACTGCACAGGTCTGACTATGTGTGGGTTTCTGTAGTTGAATTTGCATATTTCCTATTAGCTTCACTGTGGACATGTAAGTTTTGTTGTCGGGCAGATCTCAAAATAAACTGGTTTTACAGTAAGCGGATGTGCTTCCTCCTCCTGTTTCTCTGGTGTGTGCCTGACGTGGTAGGATGGGCACCCCTGGGACATGGAGGGGGCTCATTGTGGGTCAGACCTGCACTCCTCTCTTTGCAGCTGGTCTACAGCACCCCCAGTGATGGTGGGAAGTGGCAGGGTGTGTGGGGTTCTCCCTAAGCCATGCCTTGGGGAATGTTTGGAGTGGACATTGTGTGGTTCTTGGGTGTTGCAATGTGGACTCTGGGTTGGGTCTTGCCCTGCAGAACCAGGGCCCTCAGGCTGTGCAGGCAGTGCTTCACTGGGGATTCACAAGAGAAAAGGCTTTGGGCTGTTCCCACAGCTGCCCCTGCTTCCAAGGAGAGACAAAATGTGGTCTGGTTGCTGCTGGTGGAGGTAGCTATGCATGCAGGGAAGTCAGTGTTCATCTGTGTGCAGAGTTATAGTTTTCATAGAATCACAGAATGGTTTGGTTTGGAAGGGACCTTAGAACTCACCTGGTTCCAACCCCCTGCCATGGGCAGGGACACCTTCCACTAGACCAGGCTGCCCAAGGGCTTCACAGGGCTTTGGCTGTACTTGGCACAAAATGGTTAATTTTCTTCTTCCTTCTGGAAAAGGGGCCCAAGACATCTGTCTGGCACAGCATGGGAGCCCCAGGGCTGCCCAGCCCTGTGCAGGCTGAGAGCTGCTCCAGCATTGCAGCTGAGCAGATGAAACATGAGATCTGCCCTGGTCCTACCCCTGGTCTCTTAAGTATGTGCCACTCTCACTTCACCACTTCCCTTTCCCCATTCCTGTTTCAGTTCATATAGGCACTGAGGGACCCAGGGACACCATCATCATCTTGGAAGAGATCGATGATGACCGGATTAGCAAAGTTACATGTGAGATGACAGCCTTGGGCCACAAGGCCGAGCTGGAGGCAGACATTTATTCCCTCACCCCCATACAGGAGGAACCTCAGGAAGAAGAAAACAGGTAGGAGAATGGAGATGCTGTTGATGGGCAACTCTCCTTGCTCTCCAGCCACCAGTGTAGTGACCATGGGAGGGGATAAGTATGTCCCTGGGCATCCCTCCTTGCCAGTGCTGGTGGAGGAGTCAGCAGCCAAGGAGAAGGTTTCCAAAGAGAGAGGCAGCAGAAGGACCCAAAAGGTGTTTGAGCAAATGTCCTTTGCTTCAGGTGTTGAGATTTGGGTTGGGGCAGGCAGAGGCAGAGCTATCGGCACAATGCTCACTGTGCCCTGCAGAGCACAGCTGAGGGAGGACCTGCTCAGGCTCCTGTAAGTAGATTCTGGTCCTAAGGCAAGAGGGTTTGGATCTTGTTCCCAACAGCTGCTCATCCAGCTGTCATGACATTTGGAAATTGTAGTTGTTTTTGTGTAATACACCCTAATTTTCCCAAAAGAAATCCCTGCTGAGGTCCTGCCAAGGGCTGGGTAATGCGTTCACAGCCAGGAGCAATCTGCATTGCAGCAGGGGGTGAGAGTTGTCCATGCATGCACTCAAAGGGTTTGTGAGACCCCCAAAATACTTCCTATAGCACACATGGGCGAGCACAGTGATCCCCACCTCTGACACAGGCAATGCTCTACTGCAGTAAGCACAGCAATGCCCTGAGCCATGCTGGTTCTGCAGAGCTTTCTTCTGCTCAGCCAGAAAACAGTGGGCAAGTTACAAAAATATTTTTCAGACTTTTTCCCCCTTAGTACACAAGCCTGAGAAGCTATGGGCAGTAAGCACAGCCTGTCCTGTGGGCTGGATTTCATTAACAGGGAGGTTTTGGTCAAAATCAGCAATAAGTGACCCCTAAGCACATCATCTTCCCATGCAGCAAGGAGTATCTGAAGGTTCAAGGACTTTAGTCTTGTGTTATCAAGATTTTTCTCATTCTTCCCCCCACCTGCTTGGAGCTGTAGACACTAACGTGCTGTGATGTAGCATGTGCCCAGTGTGCCCCAGCATGGCCAGCCACCCAGGAGGGAGGGAGAGCATCTCTGGTCAAAGGGGTTGGAGCTCCTCGTGTGCAGAGGTTGAGATATACTTTGTGGATTATACCTAATGAGTTTCTTCTTCCCAGGTTGTGTTTGTGCTCCCTGGGTGCTACCAAGGAGGGAGAGGAGGAGGAGGAGGAGGAGGAGGAAGAGGAAGAGAGGGAGGAGAAAGAGAGGAAAGAGAAGGAGGAGGAAGAGAGGAAGGAGGAGGAAGAAGAGAGAAAGGACAAAGAGGAGGGAGAGAGGAAGAAGGAGGAGGAAGAGAGGAAAGAGAAGGAGGAGGAAGAGAGGAAGGAGGAGGAAGAAGAGAGTAAGGACAAAGAGGAGGGAGAGAGGAAGAAGGAGGAGGAACAGAGGAAAGAGAAGGAGGAGGAAAAGAGGAAGGAGGAGGAAAAGAGGAAGGAGGAGGTGAAGGAAGAGAGGAAGGAAGGGAAAAAGGAAGAGGCAAAGGAAGAGAGAAAGGAGGAGGCAAAGGAAGAGAGGAAGGAAGAGAGCAAGGAAGAGGCAAAGGAAGAGAGCAAGGAAGAGGCAAAGGAAGAGAGGAAAGAAGAGACAAAAGAAGAGAGGAAAGAAGAGACAAAAGAAGAGAGGAAGGAGGGGGCAAAGGAAGAGAGGAAGGAGGAGGAGAAGGAGAGGAAGGAGGAGGAAGTGGAGAAGAAAAAAGTGGAGGAGAAGAAGAAGGAAAAGAGGACGGAGAAGGAGAAAAAGAAGGAGAAGAAGAAGGAGAAGGTGAGGAAGAAAGAGGAGGAGAAGAAAGAGGAGAAGAGGAAAGAGGAAAATAAGAAAGAGGAGAAGGAGAGTGCCGAGTAAGTGGCTCCCATTACCTTTATGGCTTTGTTGGAAACGACGGTGAACGCAGCTGTTGTTTCAGCAGCATTCACCAGTCAGAGAGGCTGAAACACCCGTGGCAGAGCAGAGCTGCCAGCCTAGCAGGCGACTGGGGCGTGCTGGGGAGGGATGCAAAGCGGCTCAGCCCAGGGCTCGCTGCTGACGCGGCACCTGGTGACGGGCGAGTGTCTCCTGGTGACACAGGCTCCATCTCCATCGCGGAGCAGCCGCAGCCCGTGGCCATCCCTCCGCGGGTCCGGCTGAGCCGCAGCCTGTGCCTCCTCTGCGAGACGGTCCATGCTATGTCAAACCATAGCCATTCATTCGGGACGGTCGGGATTATTAAGAGTGTTACAGAGCTGAATGTAAAGATTATGTGTTGTGCCTGCAAATGCTGCTTTGTACAAGTAGGTACAATTTTATGCTTTTTATCCTGATGTAGAAAATAGCTGTCCTTGTCAGCTGTGGCAGGTAGTGGCTTTGGTCTAGATGGTATTGAGAAACATCTTGCTGCTTAGTTTAGTAGTTTGCTCTGATTTCACAACCTGAACACTTAGGGATTTACTGGTGCTACAGTATTATTCTCTGTTCATTCCTCTGAAGCAGATAGATTTTTAGGAAGAAGGTGAAAATGCATAATTATTCAGTGTCAAACCCATATGTTTGTTATTCATCAAAATCTGTTCCTGGAGCTTCACTATAGAAACTTAAGCTTCAGTTGTTGGGTGAATAAGATGCTGCTCCATCCTTCAATGTGTTTGTATATTGGGAAAAGGGAGAGATACCAACAGATTCTCTAGATTAAGATGGAAAAACTTGTGTTGCATTTGAAGGGAGCAGAATTTTTTTAAAAAATAAGGGGGAAATTATTTAAAGTAATTAAAAAATACATTGGAAAATAACAGGCTTTGAAGACATGAAGGTAAAAGAGAAAAAGCAATCACTGCCTGTGACACATCTCTTCTGACTTTGCATCTGCCAAAGATGCAGAAAGATGGTTTTTCAATTTTCTTGCATTTAGCTGTCTTAAGTTCTTTCTCATTATCCCCAATCTCTGCTCTGCATTTCTTGCCAGGAAAGAGCAAATCAGGAGATAAGTGCGCAGAGCAACATGTGAGGCACTTCTTTTTTTTCAGTTCTAAAGTTATATTAAACCAATAAAATCCGTTTTGCAAGCTCCTTTGTCAGAATGGCAGAGCTGAGTTCTGTGCT